TGACCTTTGCAAATGATTGTGTGTGATCTAATTATTTCAATCATTATTTCATTTGAAGCCATTGTCGATGTCAAACATTAATTGTGTGCGGCATAATTAGGCAACCACACCTACTTTACCTTTTCCACACCATTGGGTTTATATTGAGGAAATAATGAACCCTTGGACGGACTAAATAACTCATTGAATGGTCGGCACCTTATAAGTAATAATTGTTACTTTCTTTTGTCAAAGACAATGGCTGCACAGGGGGACTACCAGGGGAAGGAAGCAGCCAACCCGTTTAAATTTTGTCTCGAAAGGAAAAAATGAAAAGGAAACAAAGTAGCAGACGCCACCCTTTTTTCTCTCCTCTCCTCACCCTTCACTTATTTCTTCTTTTTTTAGAAAACAAATTGAGTGCTCCTCAGTGTTTTAGTTTTGACTTGGCAAACAAAGTCCTTGTAAATCCTTTAGATCTCTAGTCACAACACACTTCCCAAAACAATGACACAAAACAACAACAACAACAACAACAAAACTTAAGATCTTTTGTAGAATACCTCCCCGAAAATTGCACACACACAAAAAACTGATGTCCCTGTTTTTTCACATTTCTTCCAAGAAAGGTAGTTTTTTCTTTCCTTCTTCCATTGTGGGTCTTGCCATTCCTTCATCACCTCTAATTGTAGTCTTTTGGTAAATTATATGTACATTTGTTCGTCCCATTTAGCAGTTTATAACTGTATAAGGTATTCGCACTGCACATTTGCTTACTGGCTTGGCTGATGAGTCCTGGACATTTCAATATTTACTCTACCACTCTGTGTGCTGTATGTGTGCGCCTCTGTCATCATATCAGTTGCTGAAGATCTCCATGCAGCCTCTCTCCATTCCCGACTTCCATAAATTATACGATATTTTATGTTTCTCTTTGTCGTATTTTTAACACCTTTCTTTGACTCCATTTGGTTGACTGGTTGTTTGGCTGCTTGGTTTGCCTTCCAGGGAAATCTTGATCGTAACCAAAGTTGACAAAGAAATTTGCAAAGGAAATGTCCTTGGAAAAGGGGTTGCTAGCGCCGCCGCTGTTGCTGCTGCTGGGTAACGTGCTATATCGTTAAAGATCTTTTTTAAAAATATATAAAGAAAATAATGAAAACTAATGATTGAATCTTATCAGATTTTTAGATTGAGACATTGGTGTTAAAATGCGTGAGAAAATGTTGTTACTTTATAATCAAGTCCGGTTCCGTTATATGAAATTTTGAAATAACGATTTCTTAATGAAGTAAAGAGATTTTTGTTTGCAATTGCGTATTAATAATTAGAGTTTAAAAAGATAAAATATTAAATATGACAATTAGATAGATCTAACAAATAAATAAGTTTTAAGGCAACCAGTAAGGCGTATATTTTTTAATAATTTTTCTAAGGCGAACACTAAGGAGTTGATTTTTTAAATATTCTTTTTTAGGATGCCACTAAGGCGTAGATATTTTAAATAATTTTTAAGGCCACTACAAATGTGTAGATTTTTTAAATAATGTTTTTTAAAGCATAGTTTTTGAAATATCACAATAGTGGTTCAAGGTATTTCAGCAATGTGAAATCAGTAAAAAGTGTCAGTCGATGTTCGGCGACAGATATATACCCTTGCCAGTGTCTTCGGAGATACACATAGGTTTTATTCAATTCAATTTGCTAACAAAATCCAAGTTTTTATAAGGGCAGACGGGTCCACCTTCGAATTAGATCTCGACTTGGTAAAATAACTTTAATCTTTGGTTTGAATCGGACATTCCATTTGCCTGATATTGGATTTATAAATATTGAAAATGTTGACCCTTTTGGGGGAGGTATCAGAAGGAGTGGATCAATGGAACGCATCTTCGGGCTTTAACTTTCGTATTTTTTTAATTGTTGGAATTTATTCCAGAAACATGGGAATTTTGAAAAAAATTATAAAAAGGAGTTTTGGAAAACTCTAATAATAAAAAAATATGTCATAGGAGAGCCAATAATCGTATGGCATAATAATAGATAAATCATTAAATTCCTCATTAAAAATATATTTGAATACTGTTTCATGTATAGTACATACTCATAAAATTTTGGTATTAATAACAGAAGAATTTTAATTATTTGGGCGCCACTGGAGCTATAATTTTATAAATATGGAGGAGAAGGATTTTTGGTAAATTCAAATAAGAAATGTATTTTCTTATTGACTCTCGAACGATACGAAAAATAGAATAGATAAATCATTCAATTTTCCTAAAATCAGAATTGTATTGTCGAAATCGGAATCTGAATTAGAAAATTAAATCGCTGATTTTTAAATAACTTTTTAAAATATTTTTCACAATTTTTCAAAACCAATTTAATAAATTAGTTGGGCGCCACTAAACAATTTTCAATTATATATGAAAGTCCATGTAATGAAAGTCCGAATGAATATATTAGGTTGGGGAAAAAGAAATCCATTATTTTTCAGCAGATGGCTGTAGTGATAGATTTCTCGTAAAGTATCGATCAAACAATTTCAGATTTTTGCTCTATGGAGGGTGATACTTCGCAGTAAAAAAAAATATTTTGCTGTTTTTTTTTTTTTTTTTGCATTCCGTTGTGAGTTGTAGGGTGTTAAAAATGGAAGTGAACAGAGAGAAAATTTGGTACATTTTACATTCCGCTAAAATTGTGAGTTACAGGGTGTTAAAAATGAAAGTGAACAGAGAGAAAATTTGGTACAATTAAGCTACGCCACACACATAGACTCACCAGAAACTTCGGGAGCTTGGTCGGAAGTATTAATGCATCAACCATACAATTCGAACTTGGCACTAAGCGATTATCATCTTTTTCTTGCATTGCAAAATTTCTTTAATGATTAAAACATTGGTATCTGGGGAGGACTGTGCAAATAGAGAACATGTCTTCTATGAGAGAGGCATTATGAAGTTACCTTTAAAACGGTTCATATTTGGCCCAATTCGGACATTCCGAAACATGTTAAACAAAGTCCTATAGTTCATATAACAATAAGGGATTTTTCCCCCATCCTTATTCATTTTTTTACAATTTTCATAAAATGGAGAAATTCCAAAAATTTTGGATAATTTCCATCTACAAGATAAAAATATCTAACAATACAAATTTAATATTTTTGAAAAAGATTAACGATGTCTTCGGGAATACAGAACTCCTAATAGACTAATTTTTTATTTAATCTTCTTTCTAGAGTACCAAAAATTTATCAAAAATTATTGAGTTTAGATTTAAGCATTTTAACTTAGCCGTTGTGTTTCTGTATTGAATGAAAATTTGCCTAAGTTCAATAAAAATTGCTACAAAAAAAAATTTACGAAAGTTTCCGATCAATCCATTTAACCTTCCTCTGAAATTATTTTCCTAAGAATATTAACTGTATTCAATATTAAAAGAACACACATACAATTTAAATGCCCACTTTGTCCAGCTTGGCCCCTAACCTCTTCTTAAACTCCTCTCCAATTTCTTTCTTTCAACGAACAAAAGTAAAGTCTGTAAACGATAGCAAAAGTGTATCTTTACAATATATAAAACTGTCTATAAAAATTCAGGAACGTTTCAGTTCAGTTTCAAATACGAATTTTTAATTTTTAATTTATTTCCACTAAACCATCATCTATGTTAAGCCCTCTTTAAAATTATATCCCTAACTATATTAAATATTAAAAAAAACAAACCCAAAATTTAAATACCCACCTTGTCTAGCCGGACCCCTAACCTCATCGCAAACCCCCTCTCCAATTTTCTTCTGTCATCGAACAAAAGTAAAGTCTGTAAAGGATAGCAAATGTGTATCCTTGCGATAAATAAAAATTCAGGAAAGTTTCAGATCAGATTCAAGATCGAGTTCTTACTTTCAAATTTCATCCTCTGTTTAAAGCCTCCTCCAAAATGATTTTCCCTTTGAATATTAACTATATTAAATATTTAAAGAAAACAAAATTTAAATGCCCACCTTGTCCAGCTTGACCCCTCCTAACCTCCTCACAAACCCCTGCTCCAATTTTTTTCTTTCAACGAACAAAAAGTAAACCCTGTAAACGATAGTAAAAGTGTATCTTTTGCGATTAATACAAATCCAATATCTGTTTATTGTTGGTTTGTAACACTATTTATTCTTGTTCTTATCTTTGTAAACTATACGAAAGAGAGAAAAAACTACAACAACAACATCAATAGAATTATTGTATGTATTTGTTGTTGGTATAAACAGTAAACGTATGCTGTTTGATGTTGTTGTTGGTGGTTTTGTTGCTTTGTTTCTAATCGGAGGACACTCGACACATTCATTGTTCTGGGCTATGCACAAATTATTCACGGATACACGGACGGCAGAGCCCAAACCCAAAAACCCATCCGACCAACCACCAACAACAACTTCTTCTCTTCTATCACTTGAAGTGCTACTTGTTAGGCAGGCGGATAATTCTTATTGCGTTTATGTGTGCGAGTGTGTGTGAGTCAATGAGTGTGCGGATAAAAGTGGATAAATATGCTGTTATGTGGTAAAGGCAGCCAATCAGAAGCCAGAGTTGTGTGTGAGTGTGTGTGTGCATGGTTTATCCGCAGTGAAGTTTGTGTGGCAGCCAGCCAGCCAACAAACAACCCCGGTTTTCCATTCTTTGTTTGAACTAAAGAAGCAAACGACCCAACCAGTCAGCCAGCCAGGCGATTCGGTCCGAAGGAAGCTAGGCTGGTGGCAAAGCAGAGTGAAGTCAGTCAGCATTGCGCAGTCGTTTCAAACAGACGTACTTCAGTGCGGTGTAACAGAAAACAGAAAAAAAGAAAAAAAAACTAAAATAGAGAGACCCACACAAAATATTAACGTTAAGAAATTTTGAAAGCAAAAAAAGAAAAACATTTACAACAACAAAAAATTTTCATAGATGAAGAATACCTATAGTGGTCTTATATAAGTGTTCCCTAAAAGACAATCCAAGTGCTTAATTTTACCGTTGCCAAAAAACAGCAACAACAATCAAAATACACACACAAATTAACAACATGGTTATTAACACACCCCTCACTGTGCCCTGCGGCACTGCGAGTCCCCCCGCAACCAGATCTCGTGTACAAATCGATTGGGATATTAATGACAGTGTCGTTCCCGTGGTAACAGAATTCGATGAATTCCACGATTGGGCCAATGGCCATTGCCGTCTGGTCTACTCTCAGAACAGCGAAGAGGCCAAGAAACATTCATCCGGCTGGGCCATGAGGAATACCAACAATCACAATATCAACATTTTGAAGAAGAGCTGCCTGGGCGTACTTCTCTGCACAGCCAATTGCAAATTGCCCAACGGCAACAGTGTCCATTTGCGTCCCGCAATTTGTGATAAGGCTCGTCGCAAGCAACAAGGCAAACCCTGCCCAAATAGGTAAGTTGAGAGAATTTTGAAAAACTTTTCAAAAATTCCAAAACGTTGTTTGTCGAACTGGAAAACTAATTTCAAAATTTTCTTAATTTTTCCAGAAATTGTACGGGACGTTTGGAAATCCAACCATGCCGTGGCCACTGTGGCTATCCAGTAACACATTTTTGGCGTCGTTCCGGTAATGCCATCTTCTTCCAAGCCAAGGGTACCCATGATCATCCACGTCCCGAGGCTAAAGGTTCCAGTGAGGCTCGGCGTCTTTTGGGTAGTGGACGTAGGGCACGCAGCTTGGCTGTCCTACTAGCCAGAGATGCTGCTCTCAATGACAAATTGACCAGCCTCCGTGGTGTTAAGAGAAATAACTCAAAAATGGAAGCCTCCACAGATGCCAGTTTGGTACAGGCCTCAAAGAAGAAGCGTGCCATGCGTGAAATTTCCAGCAATGTTACCCCAGCTGTGTCCACGGAACAAATTCCCCAAAATACTTACAATCAACATTTGATGGATGGCACTCCATACGAGAATCAATGGTTACCCGAATTGAATAACACACCTATGTACAACACCGGCAGCACCACCACAACAACAATTTTGCCAGAATTTAATTATGGATCGCATCAACAGCAACAACATCTGACATCTTTAGAATCCAACTACAATATCCATTACGAACAACCTGCCTCCTGTCTAACCTCACCACAATCTGCCTATTCATATTCCCAGCAGTACTCCCCCAATAACTCGGGATTAGAAGAAACTCTGCTGGGCCAAGGCCAACAAAATTTGTATGCCCCCAACTCCAGCAGCTTATTGTCCACAGATTTCACCACTGCCGATAATCAAAAATGGATCTATGAAAACTGTGATGATGCCTCCAGTTTGACCAGCAGCTCGGGCTATAACTCCGATGATTACTATTATTCCACATTTATGTCTTCGACATTGAATAATTTTGAAACCCCTGCCGCAGCCTCTGAAATGCCCCAACAGTTGGCACACAGTCCATCATACTATAGTGCCACATCACCCACCGCCACCGATATCTACAACAGTGTCTTTGATGCTGACCTACCCTCGTCACTGTATACCCCGACGGCTGCTGATAATTTCCAGAACACTACCAACACCCCATCCAGCCATCAAGTCGTCGAATTCAATGATAATTTACTTAATCACTCGCCACAATATCACAGCTTATCCGGCTACACTTCCGATCTCAACACAAGCAGCTCGAATAATACCGTCGGCGGCGGCGGTCATACAGGATCTGACTTTTACTACAGCAATTCGGTAAATGATAACGGCAATGAATGGAATATTCAAATGGAAAACTCCAGTATTTTGTATTCCCACCAGCAGCAGCAACAACAACAAATGGACTCGACTATGTTAAATCACCAGCAACAACAAATGCACCAAACTTTGTCAGCGGGAGTTTTTTAAGAAATTTGAAAAAAAGAAAACCCCTTCGTTTGAAGTACAGAGTGTTGGCGCCCAATTGTTTTTTGGGAATTTGTTTTGTTGTGGCATGTCTTAAAAAGTCTCTCCCTCCGCTTGCCAATATATTATTTTTTTTACCACTAAGCTGTTGTATGTTGTCAATATTATTAATATTTTTTTTGATATAAGTTTATTTATTATTTGTATTTTTTAATAATTTTCTAATCAAGACTTCTTAGATTTGTAAGTTTTGCAAATGTTGCCTCATATTGAGAAAAATTATTCTTATACTTTTGTATACTACATGCGTTGTTCTAGTCTAGTCACAACCCTCCCCCTCACCCTAACTATCTCCACATTCTATTTTTTTAAATCGAAAAATGTTGGTTAAGTTTCATTGTAATACTTCTTGTTCCCATTAAGTTTTACTTTGTTTCCATGATCGTCTATCCTGTTCCATGGTCATTCATCATCATCATCTTAAGATAGTTGTTAAGCCAAAGAATTATAAATTAAAAAAAATCGAACGAAAAAATTTCATAGTCAAGAATTTCTTTATAAGATTTAATTTTAAGTTTCCATTTAGTTTTAAGGTAAAGACAAAAGAAAAAGTTGAAAGAAGAAGAAGGAAAAATATAAAAGATTTTATTAAAATTGAAATTATTGTGATTTTTTTAATTGGAAGCGGGAAATACATTGTGAGGAGAAATAAACCAAGTTATGGAAGAGAAGTGATGACTGACTTCTATGTTTTGAAAAAGCCCATTCATTTGATATCGTAACAAAATAAAATACCAGTCAAATCTGGAAATTTCCACAGACTTCGAGTCTGGATGTGATTGATAAATAATAACAACTAATTTTAGACCTACGTGAGCCGCATGACATACCATCACTTACTAGTAAGTGAACCAATAAACATAATCTTATACATTTTTTGTAGGGATGATAAGTATATTATTTAAAAACTATTATCTGGGATATATATTCAGATATTTGATATATTGGAGAGAGAAAAAGAGTTTTGTGCGGCCGCACGAGTGAAAATTATTATCACTGAGTCAAATTGGTCTGAATAGAGACCAAAAGCGTTTAGAAGTGCGTTGATATCACAGGTCTGCTAGGAGATAAAATAGTTTTCTTTACCAAGAAACAAAAGGACCGAATTGAGCGGGACCTTTAATGTGGCCTTTGTCAAGACATGGACCTACCTAGAAATGCCAAATAAGAGCCTTTTCGATTATTACAGCCTCCAAAAGAGTGGTACGCTAAATTATAGGCTTTTCGTTTGGAAAATGCTGCTAATTTTTTAATTTATGAAAATTTGAGCGGTACCGTTATATGGGAGCTATACCTTAACGTTGACCGATATACACCATTTGCAACGCCAAACATCCTAGGAGTAATAGCAATGTCCGTGCAAAAAGTTAAAGCTCAGTCTAAAATATTGCTAATCTCTATCGACAAACTGGCATGGCTAAATATAACATAGAATTTTATTTTGATGAAGAATAAACAAAATAAACCTTTAAAGGTATACATATTCCAATTCAATTCCACGCTTTGGTCTGTTAAAAACGCGCTGACTTAACCCGATTTGTTAGAGTTGAAATTATATTGGTGCACAATAAATCCGTGGAACGATCAGGAGTGTCGTAAAAACGCAGCGTATAGGGCATTCCTGCGGACAGTAGCAACACATAATGCGATGGAGAACTATCGGGAGTAAAGGAAAGAGGAGAAATGTATTTTCAGAAAAAAAAAGAAGAAAGAACAAGAAAAACGTGAGCGTGAGCAAATTGAGATGTACAGGAGTCAGAATGAAGTCCGAAAATTCTACCAACGGATAAAACACCAAACCGAAGGCTTTGGTGCAGGCACATCATCTTGTACATATGAAGAAAGAAACCTGGTGACAGATACAGACAGCGTGCTGAGGATCTGGAAGGAGCATTTTGAAAAACTTCTGGTATCAAAAAGTAGCGGTGAAGAGCATACCCCAGAACCAATAATAGATGACGGTATAGAGTGTATACCACCTAGCCAAGATGAAGTCAGAATAACAATCAATCGGCTGAAGAATAATAAAGCAGCCGGTGCCGATGGGTTACAAGTCGAATTATTCAAGACTGGTGGTCAGATGCTGGTAAGGAACATGCACCAGCTGATTAGTACAATTTGGCTAGAAGAATGCATGCCCATGGATAGGAACCTTAGCATCCTGTGTCCGTGCACAAAAAAGGAGACAAGACGATATGTGCCAACTATAGAGGCATAAGTTTCCTTCCCATCGCATATAAAGTGCTATCCAGCGTACTGTGTGAACGTACTGCGTGAATGCAATGGCAAATCCACCATCGTCCAGATTTTCACTCTACGCCAAATCCTGGAAAACCCCCACAAAAACACACATGGACACATTCCATCTATTCGTCGACTATAAAGCCGCATTCGACAGCCCTATCCGTTCAGAGGTGTATAAAGCCAAGTCTGTGTTTGCCATTCCTGCAAAATTAATACGGCTATGCAGGATAACTTTAACTGGCACAAGATCAGCAGTTAAAGTCGGAAAGGGCCTCTCGGAGCCCTTTAATACCGAACGAGGATTCAGACAAGTTGACAGTTTGTCGTGTGACTTTTAAATATCCTGCTGGAAAAGGTCATACGAGAGGCAAAAATGAACAGAAATGGCACTATGGAACTTGAGAACTACAGGTTCGTGGTAGTAAAAGATTTTATATACCATGGTACCGCCATAAACAAAACGAATGACATCAGCTTTGAAATTCGGAAAAGGATAGTGATGGCCAACAGATGCTACTATGGTCTGAACAAACAGACGAAACTCACACTCTGCAAGACGCTGATACTACCAGTGTTGTTATATGGATCTGAAGCATGGGTACTTACGGAAGCAGAAGAGGCAGCTCTTGGAGTGTTTGAGAGAAAAATTCTCCGAAAGGTCTATGGGCCGATCTGCGTTGACAGTGAATATCGCCGTCGAATGAACCATGAGTTGTACCAGCTATTCTCGGACATCGACATTGTTAGACGTATTGAGCTGCAGCGACTACGTTGGCTAGGTCATGTTGTGAGAATGGATGAAGATGCCCCAGCCCAGAGGGCATATAAAAGCGAACCAGCTGAAGGTTCACGCAGAAGAGGAAGGCCACGAATAAGATGGAAAGACCAAGTGGAAGACAACATTGTCCAATATGGTCTCCTACATGTTTGCTTTGATTATTTGTTTTTTTTTACTATTAGCACATTTCATCAAAACTAGCAAAATACTATTTTTCATATTGTCGTCAGATTGGGATGAGAACATTGAGTTTGCGCACATAAATTTTCCTTTTAATTTATTTCGAATTATTTTTTAATGATAAGGGTTTTACATTTCATTCATTCAAGAGCGTTTAATTTTTGCAATTGTTGTGCAAATTTTTCAAAAGCCAATTGTAGTTGTAATCGTTTGCAAAACACAGCGTTTACACAATAAATCAATTTGTCAACATTGGGTACAGATTCCATCTAATTCGCAACAAATCAGTCCATGCCAAAAAATATGCAAATGTGCGAATTGCAAAAATTATGCAAATTTTTATTGGAAATCAAAACCAAACCCTCTATTGCAAATTTAAGTCATATAGCTAACCTTTATTTTTGTTTTATTTTAGGGGCACATTTCCAATGAAAGGAGGGAGGATCAATAAATTATTTGTGTGTGACAGAAGAAGAATGCCCAATACATTTCAAAATATACAGTTGCCTTGAAGAGATATGGTAAGTACAAAAATTAATTTCTATTATTCTTATATCTTTCTGTATCGTACTTGACTTCAAGGTTCATTGAGGACATTTAAAATGTGAGGCAAATGCCAAGCCACACTTATCGCACACTTTTATCAAAATATCCATCCCTTTGTCTAGGATTGATTATTGCTCATCGGTTTTATTTAAAAAATTCAATTGTATTTAATTATTATCAGGAAAATGTCCCTAAGTCCATTACAAGCTGCGCTGAATGAGTATTGAGTTGTTTGTAACAACACTTTTTATTTTTTATTACTATTTTTTTGAATATTTAAAAAAAATCATGTTTTTTAAAAAAAAAAAATTATAAAAAAATGTTTTTTTTACCTATCATTACCGTAAAGGGTTAAATATTTTGACAGTTTTAAAATTGAGCTGTATCAAAACATAAAAAATCCTTAAAATAGTCCTTGTTTTTAGAGGATTAAAAATTCCAAAATGTAACACAATTTTTTTTTATTTCCACAATTATGCGATTTGATAACCTTATCAAAATGCCATTTAACAGCCCGGAAAAAGGGTTTACCGCAAAACGTTTTGAGAATAATTTTCCAACATTTATAAGCTGATTAATAGATGGGATTATAGAAAAAAGGTGTAACAGCAAACATAAAAAAGGATTTCAAAAAATTATGCTAAATTATTTGGGTGTAGTGTGGTGTGGGGTGGTTTTTTTTCCAAATTGCAATCAACCACCCAAAAAATTTTAAAAATCAATTCAATATTGAATTCATTTGCAATTGCAGGGATAATAAAACACCCATTACACAAAAGAGAGAGAGAGAGTGGCCTTGGGTGGCACACACGTCCCTGTTTTTGTTTGTTTGCCTTTTGCTTTTTGGGTTGCTCTTTTCATTTCATTAACCTCCCCCTTTGTTTGGCTGGGCTCTTGTCTAAGGCAATTTTGATTTACTTCACTTTGAAGGTCACGGGGAAGTTAGTTTAGAATATTTTGTGTAAAATATTTAGCGTTTTATGTTTCCGTTTCAAAAATTATTTAAAACAAAATATTTGCATAAATGATGTTTACACACGCTGTACACACGACATGGCACACCGGTGCCCATTCTCCTGAAAATGTAAATGCAAATATCATTCTGAGTATCTTCCAATCAGGGATGGGAAGATGTCTTTAGAGTAAACTGGAGTGGCTGTGATATTATTGAATAGGAAACTGTACTAATTTAGGG